CCACTCTATTTGCGAAAAGAGTCTCGCTTAGGGATACTCGTAATTTTATGGTAGCAACTTTGATCTAGCCTGACTTTGTGCAACTCACTAATCGACAAGCTCGGATTGGTTGCCAGCCTAGAGAATCCCTTGAGTGACTGTCCTGTTTTCGAGTCATTTTTGTGCTAGAAAATTTTCATTAAAGGGAGTGTGCATAGTCTCTACTGAATTTGAAAAAGTTTTTTTGAGTTAGATAATAGAAGAATTTGAAAAGCTTTTATCTTTTAAACAAAGACGACCTTATGATGATTTTGCTTGAGAAAAATAGTAGGGATTAAAGCTTTGACGTTCCTCCTGAGACACCATATGAGCAAATTAGTCCCTGTGGAGACGAACTTGGAATATTTCCAGATTATTACTTGTGACAGTGTGCACTTGCACTCGTCCCTCTTGCTATTAAGCAGAGGCGCAACACCTACTTATTAATAAGTCACGGTCGTGGTGTTCAGAAATAGAGGCCGTGTTGGTTAAAATTCACCACGACCGTGATTGACACAAACTCGCCCGTTAAATCTTCCAGAACATGTGCATTCATCCCTAATTGTGACCTCGGGCGTGTTTAGATATATTTCAACCATGTTAGTTTGCTGGGTAATGAAAAATATATCAACTGGTTCAATCAAACAATAGAACACTTAATAGTAGTACAACGTTCTACAAAATAAGGTTACTCAAGGATAAGAGTACAACGTTTAGCAAAGTAAAATGAAAAATATATCAGCTAATGTTTTACATGTCCCCATCCGTAGTTCTAAGTGGTTGGCGGCATGTTTTTCTATTATGTCCCATGTTGCCACATCGATTGCATTTGTGGACTTGGCGTGTCTCCCCAACAGATGGGATCCGTACAGTTTGATTTCGGCCAACACGTTTAACATATTTGGGTGGCTCCACTTTAAATTCGACAAAATTATCAGGTAAAATCCAATCAACTTCATCACCGGGAGGGTAAACAGGTTCGACATATGCATTAATAAGAGTTTCTAGACTACATGCAGGTGAGCACAGTGTGTACCTGTTCACGTTCCGATAGGTTGCCGTTGCAATGGCGTGCGAGCAAGGAAGTTGGAAGTAGTCAAACTCTTTACATCCACATGTCCTTGCACTTAAATTCACCCGTACCCTTCTTAGTCCATCGCTCACCTCCTACTCATGGTGATCAATTGGTGTTATGGAGTGAGTACTAGAGAGGTTCTCCACAGTACGCATTTTAGTTCACTGTAGTCAGTATGAATAGTTTCGTGACTGGATGCATACGTTCACCTCTAGTATAACCAGCAATGTAAGAGCGCTCTCGCATATTCAAGCAGTGCAATGAATGGCAATGAACGTGCATGGACGAGGACTGCATTCATAGACTCCACAATATTAGATGTCATTTGGTCATACCTCAAATCCGGTTGAAATGCACGAGTCCAGTTTTCAAAACCGATTCATTCCAAGCACAGTTGGACCTCTGGAAATCCGACTAGTTGGGAAAAGTAGTACCTGAACTCTGACTTCCGGCATGCCTTTGTTGCTAATATGAAAATTTCTTCAACGACATCCTTGTACCCATTTTCATACCCATTCCCACCATCCTCAGTATGACATTCATCATCATCATTCTCATTCGCTTTGAACCACAGACTCAACATCGTTCTCGTACAATTGACCATAATATGGAGATTCATCGTCTCCTAGGTTACATGAGACAACATTATCGGTCAATGGTGTAACTGGTGGGACGAATGAGGGGAGACATACATCCTTTAAAGGAGAGTGAATAGACACAGAAGGGCCGAACATGGATCATTCTGGCATGGGTAGTATGGAAATGAAGACAATATATGGGTTTCCAAGATAATATTTCCTTTGTTGCTTCCACTACCATATGATGCTTTAGGTTGGACGGTTATGTACAAGGGTACTTGTGATGGATCGGGAGGGTCATTCAAATAGAATCTCAAATTGGCATCATCAAATATCAGATAGCTTGGGACTTCGAACTGAAATAAGATCTATATATATACTATATAATAAGATTAGATCAGTCAGGATCAATTCTAGTAAGAATGTGCAAAGCACTTACTAGGTCGACATATGTTATCGCTTCATCGACATTTAGCCCACCCATAACGCCACCTTCATACACCATACCAACCTCGTTCCATTTGCCACCGTAGATCACGAATAGTCGACGTATTCTGCATGGATAATAATAACAACACAAATGTAATTAGTAATCAATGTTGCACACCACGACCGTGAGAACCAACAACCACGACCGAAAATTACCCAACAACTGACCACGACCGTTAGACTAAGAAATTGTATCCGTATACAACCACGACCGAAGGAACTAATTACCACGGGTGTGAATCAAACAATCAAGAAACACAGGCAATTAAAGTGTATCTGTATACAACCACGACCCCAACATCATCTTCAACCACGACCGTGAATCAAACAAACATTGACCACGACCTTGAGACGAAGATTCACGACTGAGTTTCATTGACTTTTTTTTTTAGTTAACTATTAACCAACAAATATACCCAGAAAAGTTCAGACATTAAATTCACTTCGGACTCCAACTATATACATCAAATTCAGAACGAATCGAAAACAATATTATGAACAACTCAAAGACTAACTTCGTTCAGGATGTCAAAGATGAACAAATGACTTCCTTTAAGGTGTTCACGATGTGAAAATGTTGGAAAAAGTATGGACGTTCTTCAAACATGAAAGATGTCCGCGAGGACAATAAAGACTGAACAAACCTTTATTCTCTACAACCCGTGCGAATGTGTGGGTATATATTAAGTGATAGTACAAAAATTTGGTGGAGAATTAATAAGTTGGTGGTACTTCATTTAATTCACAGCTGTAAAGCATGTCCACCTCGCCCGAGATTTTATTGTCCTCCACCTTCGCAATCTGTGCAATATTTGTTGTAGATTCATTAATTCAGGGGTATATTTGTCATTACATCCTCTCTGRTACGTCACAAAATAATAAAATGGGTCATTTGAAAACTTTTTTCTAATTAAGGTCAGTTGGGCAAACTGAAAACTTTAAGGGTCAAATCTGTCAATTTCCCAAGTTTCTTGCATAAATTTATAAAAATAGAGCAAGTGTATTTAACAATTTTTTAATATTTGTTTAAAACGTGGGAACGATGTCATTTGATTGAATTTTGTATAGATAGTTTTGCCCCATCAATTATTCCAATCAAATTTAACTATTTTTATTGATGATCTACTTGAATGTATGTTGACAGCTATTAATTGTCAATTAAAATGTAATATAATTGATGATTAATACCCTAGACAACCACATAACAAACAAAAAAAAAATCAGAAAAATCCAAAAAAATTCAAACTAAATAAACAAAGAGATAATTGAAAAAAATGAAGAAAAAAACATCTTGTGATTGTGGAAGCTACTCGTGTTGACAAATGAAAGATAAGATAGGACTACTACTACGTGGAGTTTTTGTAGGACAAAGGACAACGATTAGAACATAATGTGAGAATTTCAAAAAGTGAAGATTTAAAAGTTATSACATTTTGTGACAATTAAAAATCTTATGACCTTTCATGAAAGTTACAAAGATGTCATAAGTAATATGCAAATGTCTCAAAAAAAAGTTATGATCTTTCGTGACAGGTAAAAAATGTTATAAATTATGGATATTGTATAAATATATTTTTTTTCTGCCAAAATTGCGTCTCCATCGTGACAATTTTTAACTGTCATGGAATAAAAAAAAAAAAATTCAGTTTTTGTGACCGTTTTTAACTATCATAAAATCCAAAAAATCCGAAAAATAGCTTTTTCCTGCAAAAAAAAATGTGCCCTCAAAATTTGTGACAATTTTTTTTGCTTCAATACTTTTTACCRCTCATAACTGTCATGAAAGCTCAATTTCGTAGTAGTGTCTAATGAAAAATATTTTTATAATCCAATCATAAACGCTAAGTCCATCTCRAACTAGTGAAAAGGTGGTGCTCCATTGTTCAATTCCTGAAATTAACACTTAAGCGAATTACTCATCTTACTTACATTATATAGGAAGGAGAAAATTTTATGAGATTATGTTTTCCAGTTTCTTATTTGGTCATATCTCAAAAATAGTAAGCTTATTGAATAGGTTAAAAAAATCATTCTCACGATTTACATGACATACTTTCACATGTAGAGGTTTATTATTACTCACTCATGATTAAGATTGAGTCGCACACGATCATTGTGTGAAATATATATTTATATCTTTTTTTTAATGAATTTATAAAGAAAGATTAAATATATCTTGGTTTAGTCATATACAAACTTTGTGGTATATGATACCCCGCTCGTATATCCTCTCCACATGATTGCTAATAAATGATTTGTAACTTTTAGAAAGTGAGTTGTATCAACAATGTTAATAAGATACTTATCTATGTTATTATACTTCTTGAACATGATCCACTTATATTAACTACATACTATTCAAGTGAACCTGAGTATAGCCCAATTGGTTAAAATACTCATTTCTGATCAAAATGTCATGAGTTCGAATTCACACCCTCACATATACTAAAAAAAATTACATAAAGTTCAAAGATTACTTTTATAAACTTGAACTTTTATAAACTTGAACTTCACAAAATAGATAATGAAACATTGCATACCATCCAAATGATCAAAAATAATTATTTTTTAATAAATAATAAAATATTTACTAATTATGAGACTTTAGTGTATAAATTCCAATCTTAAAAACTTTCAAATTTCTTACAAAATCCTCCTACTCATGGAAGAGTTTTCTATGGGGAAAGGATCTACAAGTTAAAGACTTTCATATGAGAATTGGAAATGGATTAACTATTGATGCCTATAACGACCATGGATTTCCAAGTCCTTGAATTTTTGGCCTCATCCCGCTCATCCTTCATCTTTGGGCAGCAGAGTGGCAGATTATATTCTCCCTAATGGAGTTTGGGATTCACAAAGAGTATCTACTTCTTTCAGCCCAGAAGACTGTGATCTTATTTTGACCATTCCTATTTGCAATTATAATTCTAATGATTCTTGGCTTTGCCACTACGATAAGCGGGGACATATAGTGTTAAAAGTGGCTACAAGCTTTTTATGAACTTAAAGTGTGATATGCTCTCTACAAGCAATAGCAGATGGGGTTCTTCATGGCAGGAAATTTGGAAGTTAAATATTCCATCAAAAATAAAGAATTTCATGTGGAAAGCTTTTCATGAACATTTGTCTTCAATGGCTATTTTGCACTCCAGAGGTTTAGAAGTAGTACCTTTTTGCTGTTGCTCATCCAAGCCGGAAACAATAGCCCACTCCATTTTCTTCTACAAGCGAGCTCGGAAAATTTGGAGCACGATCTTCCTTTCGATTTGTTTCCCAGCTGTCCAACATAGACGTTTTCAGAAATTTGGGAAGACATAACTTTGCATTTTTTACTGGAGATGAAATGAACCTCGCGACGTTTACCTGTTGGGCAATTTGGTCTGATAGAAATTCTGATTTTCACGGTCATCTCCTTCTGGATCTTGACTTTCGATGCAATTGGATCACTTCTTACCTTGAGAATTTCAGACGAGCGACCACTTATCCTTCAATCTCCCCATCTCCGGCTACTACTTCGGGTGTTTCTCCTTCGTGGAGCGCCCCACTTGCCAATTTCACGAAGTTAAATGTGGATGGAGCCTGTCGGTCTTCACAAACTGGATTGGGGATGCTTCTGCGTGACCACAGTGGTAGTCTTTTGGCAGCGAAATCCCAAGTTCTTTCTTTTCCCCTTCCCCTCTGTTAGCGGAAATCAGGGCCATTTTAGAAGGCATGTGATTGGCATCTTCCTTGGGTTTTCTGCATCTCCAAGTGGAATTCGACTCTCGGCTTGCCATTCAGCTCATCAATGGTGAAAGATCAACTTTAGGAGATGAACTCAACTGGCTTTTGGAAGTAAAAACCCTAGCTCATGCCTTCTCTTTAATCTCCTTCTATTACATTCCTCGTGGTTGTAATCACTCTTGCGCACACACTTGCTAAACATGTTGGGATTATAGAGCCAAAACATGAAACTCATATCCTATGAAGAAAAAGATTTTTCAACACTATTACCAATTCCTATCGGGAGTAGGATATTGTTGTCTTATAAGGATTACAATATTGTTTTCCTATAAGAATTAGGATATTTGACATCTTATAAATTGAGTCTTTATGTTAAGATTTCATTTGTACAGAATCCAAATAAAAGAGACTTGAGTGGTTGTGGGTAGTGTTGAAAAGGATTCTGTATCCAGTGGGTTTAGTGAGTGTTTTTCATTCCTGTACCTAAGTATAGTGTGTTATAATACTTAGAAGCTAGAGGGCTTTTGTTGGGACCTCTAGGGGATATTTTTGGGGAGAGTTTTGTATTCTAATCCTTAAACAATTATTAGTGAATTACCCACATCTGAGTGGAAGACTGTACGTAGTCCTTAGTGGTGAACCAGTATAATTTACTTTGTCGTTATTCTTGTGCTTTTACAGTTTTCTTCTTATTTTCATATATTTTGGTTGTGTTTGGATATTTATGTGGAAGGGGAAATTATTCAGGGTCTTCAATTTCCCAACAAGTGGTATAGGGTTGCAGCATCAT